AATGAAATTGAATGGAATGCAAAAGTACCTTGAGTCCCTGTGGAACTTAGGTTGATAGCTGGTGTATGAAGGTACACTTTCTTGAATGTTACCCAACTTTGTTGATAATTGGTGTTTAATTGCATGGTTTCTGGGCCAGGAGTAGTGGCTCATACCTGTAATCCCAGTGATTTAGGAGGCTGAGATGGGAGGTTTGCTTGAGCCCAGGAGTTTGAGGCTGCAGTGAGCCATGATTGGGCCACTGTACTCCAGCCTGGGCAACAGGGTGAGACCTCGACTCAAAGAAAATATATATGTATGTATATGTATATATATGTATATATATATAGAGCTTTGTAATCACCGTTATCTCATGGTGAGGTATATGATGTAAAATTCAATGTCATTTCCTATTCCTCGTCAACAACACCATGCTAGGCAACTGTCACTTGTATTTAAAATAATTTTGCTGTTTGGGGCTGGGAGTGGTGGCTCATGCCTGTAATGCCGAGGTGTGCAGATCACCTGAGGTCAGGAATTCGATACCAGCCTGGCCAACATGGTGAAACCCCATCTCTACCAAAAAATACAAAAAAATTAGCTGTGCATGGTGTCACGTGCCTATAATCTCTGCTACTCAGGAGGCTGAGGCATGAGAATTGCTTGAGCCTAGGAGACAAAGGTTGCAGTGAGCTGAGATCGTGTCGCTGCACTCCATCCTGGGTGACAGAGTAAGACTCTATCTCAAAAGAAACAAAAAACCGGCCGGGCGCGGTGGCTCAAGCCTGTAATCCCAGCACTTTGGGAGGCCGAGACGGGCGGATCACGAGGTCAGGAGATCGAGACCATCCTGGCTAACACGGTGAAACCCCATCTCTACTAAAAAAATACAAAAAACTAGCTGGGCGAAGTGGCGAGTGCCTGTGGTCCCAGCTACTTGGGAGGCTGAGGCAGGAGAATGGCGTAAACCCGGGAGGCGGAGCTTGCAGTGAGCTGAGATCCGGCCACTGCACTCCAGCCTGGGCGACAGAGCCAGACTCAGTCTCAAAAAAAAGAAAAAAACCCTCTCTCTCTCCTTTGTCTCTCTCTCTCTGTGTGTGTGTGTGTGTATATGTGTGTGTGTGTGTGTGTGTGTGTGTGTGTGTATAATTTTGCTGTTTGGATTTATAACAGTATGCTTTTGGAAATACTTGGTTATTTTTAAAGTCCACACATTGTATTCTCTTGTGTCAGTCCTTTTATTGAACTGCTTTCTTTGCATTTTATTGATTCTATCTGCTAGGACATTTTATTAGAGTTCTTTGGGATATTTTCGTATGGTGCCTGCTGCTGTTTTCCTTTTTCTTTTTTAGAATGTAATATTGTAGTTTAGGTGTTGCATTCATTTTCTAGGACTTTCATGACAAATTACTACAAACTAGGTGGCTCTAAAATAATAGGAAGTTTTCTCTCACAGTTCAGGAGGATAGAAGCCCAAAACGAAGTGTCCACAGGGCAGATTCTAGGGGAGAATCTTTCTTTGCCTCTTCCAGCTTCTGGTGATTCCTGGCATTTCTTGGCTTCTGGCAGCATAACTCCAGTTTCTCCCTGTCTTCACATGCTCTTCTTTCTCTCTGTGTGTCTCTGTGTATCTTGTCCTCTTCTTATAAGGACACGAGTCATTGGATTTAGGGCCTGCCCTAAATCTAGGATGATTTCCTCTTGAGATCCTTAACTAATTATACCTGCAAAGACCTTATTTCCAGATAAAGTCACATTATGAGGTTCTGGGTGGACATGAGGTTTGCAGGAAACACTATTCAACCCACCACAGATGTGAAGGGAGTGTTTACATGATTTAAGCTCTGAAAGGGGGTAGGAAACAGGACTAAATAATGTCAACTACTTTGCAGTTTGCAGAAATGTTACCTTGGGCCACTCTCCAGTCTGAGAGTTCTTAGCAGTGTGCTCTAGATACAAGTCCCAAGTGAAAGATTAGCTGCTGGGGCTTAGACCATAGGCCTGCCCTCTGGAAGTACCTGTTCGCAAGCTAGAAATAAGTGATGACCTAAAATGTATGTAAGACTATAAGGCCAGGCATGGTGGATCATGCCTGTAATCCCGGGACCTTGGGAGGCTGAGGTGGGTAGATTGCCTGAGCCCAGGAGTTCAAGACCAGCCTGGGCAATGTGGTGAAACCTCATTTTTACAAAAATTATAAAACTTAGCTGGGTGTGGTGGCCCATGCCTGTAGTCCTAGCTACTCGAGGCTGAGGTAGGAGGATCACGTAGGCCCGGGAGGTTGAGGCTGCAGTGAGCTGTGATCACGCCACTGCACTCCAGCCTGTCTCAAAAAAAAGAAAAAAGACTGTGGCCAGTTTGAGCACCAGATTATGACATTCTATCATACTATAAATTGTGATAATTTACGTGGAAAGATAGTATAGTGATTAAGAACTCAAGAACTTTGAGAATCACATTCTCTGGTTTCATATACTGCCTCTGACCCTTATTATTTGGGTGGACTGTGAGTAAATTGGTGAGCCTCTGCAATGTCTAAGGGTTAAAGAATACCTTAATACATGTAAAGTTCATGAAACTGCCTGGCATATAATAACTGCTCATTTAATGTTTGTTGCTGCTATATCCATCATCATCCTCAGGAGAGAGAGAAGCTAGTTGTCAGAAAGATTGATGCCTTCGATTGTTTTCCTACTGTTGAGGGTAAATTTTTACTGATGAATTCATAGATTCCTACCTAGCCTCAACTTAGGAAAATGTGCTTTCAGGTTGTCCAGTTAGAGGTTGGGGGTAGTAGAGGACATGAGATGAGATAACAGGCTCCTGACTGGGAGCAGTGGCTTGTGCCTGTAATCCCAGCAAGGTGGGAGAGATTCCTTTTTTTTTTCTTTTTTTGAGACGGAGTCTCGCTCTGCCGCCCAGGCTGGAGTGCAGTGGCCGGATCTCTGCTCACTGCAAGCTCCGCCTCCCGGGTTCACGCCATTCTCCTGCCTCAGCCTCCCAAGTAGCTGGGACTACAGGCGCCCGCCACCGCGCCCGGCTAGTTTTTTTGTATTTTTTTAGTAGAGACGGGGTTTCACCATGTTAGCCAGGATGGTCTCGATCTCCTGACCTCGTGATCCGCCCGTCTCGGCCTCCCAAAGTGCTGGGATTACAGGCTTGAGCCACCGTGCCCGGCCAAGGGAGAGATTCCTTGAGGCCAGGAGTTTGAGACCAGCATGGGAAACAGAAGACTTCCTCTCTACTAAAAATACAGCTGGGCGTGGTGGTGTGTGCCTGTAGGCCCAGCAATTTGGGAGATTGAGGCAGGAGATTGCTTGGGTCCAGGAGTTTGAGGCTGCAGTGAGCCATAATTGCACCACTGCACTCCAGCCTGGGTGACAGAGTGAGACCCTGTCTCAAAAAAAAAAAAAAAAAAAAAGAAAAGAAAAAAGAAAATAGGTTCTTGGTTTCATTAACAAGGCATTCTAAACACTGAGTAGCCATTTTAGTGATGTATAGAACTTGCTCCCTGACAGACTTTTGTAGTGAGTTTTCATCCCCCTTTATGTCATGAGGGTATCAGCTTGACTTTTAATGTAAGTCTGTTAAATACCTTATCTCTGAAGTTAACTTTGAAGTTGTTTTCAAATGGATAGATAGGTAGATTAACTACATGTTTTAGCAAGCATTTCAGGATGTTTTGCAAGTAATTATCCACTAAAAGATTTGTTGTGGGAATATGGTTTTCCTTACCTTCAGTTTTTAATGTTCCTCCTGGAAGTGTATGTTACTAATAACACTTCTTTGAAAACCACACTGATTGATATTACTCTTCTGCTTACCTGAAGTTTCTTGGTCAGAGTCCTGCAGTGTAGTTTACTGAGCTTATTAAAAGATTTGTTAATAGATGACTAGAATTCACAGAGGATAATAATACCATTAGAATTCACAGAGGATGATGAGATTAAGAATTAAACACTTTACCAAACAAGTTCCCCTCTCTCTCCCTAGTCTAATTGCTGGTCTTTTAGCATTATGCAAAGCAGAGAGAGGAGACTAGTTCTCTTGTTATCTCAGTTAAACTTAACAGCTGTACAGGTATTATTCTTTTTTTTTTTTTTGAAACAGGGTCTCACTTTGTTGCCCAGGCTGGAGTGCAGTGGTGCAAACATAGGCCATTGCAGCCTCCACCTCCTGGCAGAAGTGATCCTCCCACCTCAACCTTCCAAGTAGCTGGGACTACAGGCAATACTATACCTGGCTAATATCTAAATTTTTTTTGTAGAGATGGGGTCTCACTGTATTGCCCAGGCTGGTCTCAAACTCCTGGGCTCAAGTGATCTTCCCACCTTGGCCTTTCAAAGTGCTGGGATTATAGCCATGAGCCAATGCACCTGGCCTGTACAGGTAGTTTCTTATTTTATATAAAGAAACCTAGGCTCAGAGACATGGAAGTTGTTCACCATCATGTATCTACAAAATGATGGAGTTAGTATTTGAATCTAAACCTTTCTGGGTCTGTTCTTTTTGCTCTTTTCCAACATATGCTATTGCTTCTCTAAATTAGGGAACTCAGACAACCACTATATTGTATACAAAAAAGGAAGAAAGTACTTAAGTATAATAGCAAGCTTAAATCATATCTTTGATTCTTTGATCTTTTGAAAATACTTCCATGTTTAGTTCTCAGTATGTGAGGAAATGAGTAAGGAATGGGATGGGGTAGGGTGTCTGCACATAATTGAGGAAAATGGATTATTTGAATGGTGTAGTCCTTGAAGATGTGTCCTGTCACATATCCTCCTTTGCAATTCGTTTATTTACTTATCTTCAGCAGAAAGATTCTTCTCCAGTTTTCCATCATCATCTGTAACCTTTGCAAGGTATTGCCTTTAGGTTACAAATACATTTTTCAGACAGAAGAATAACTTTCAATATAGGTAATGTCTTAAGAGGACTTTACTGCTGCTTCTATTAATAGTCTCTTCTGACAGTTAAAGATGTTGTGGGAAATTGAAGTAATTGTTTTTATCTTGTAGATTAACTGCTGAAGTACTGATCGAGTTCTGCATTTCTTCAATGAGGAACTACAGGCTGATCTTCTGCCATAATCTCAAACAGCCATAAATGACAAAAGAATGCTTGCTCAGTGAGGGTAGCTGGTGCAGAAGCCATTTTTTAAACTTAGGTATTTAAGTCCTGAAAGGTAAGTTTTCAAAATGATAACTATCTCCTGCTCTATAAATCCATAGAGGTTTTGAAACTTGCCCCTGTGGCTGCTATTTGATTTAACGTGAGGTTTTATAGTTCTTAGCTGGCACCAGATACGTCGAAGAATGAATGTTGCTTGTTTGAGACTATGTAAATGTATGGTATTTTGCTCTCTTAAGTTAATTTTTTCTTTTCTTTTAAGTTGGCTGCATTGTTTCCTAGTCATGTTGTGACATTCTTGATCCAGTGGGTATACACTTGATCCAGTGGACCTTATTTTTGTAAACTTATGAATTTTAGTAGACTGATCTTTGTGATTTGCTATCTTTCTCTTGCAGTGTGAAAGAAATTGTTTTTCTGGGGTGATGGAAAAAAGACCAGCTGGTGTCATGTTGTTCATTATCAACCTTGGAGTTTTTCTTTCTTTTACAAATACTCTTTTCCTACATAAAGTAATAAATGTGTAATGTGTTTATTTTAGAAAATAAATTTTTCTTGGGATTACTTGTTCTCTTATGTGTCAGATACTGGAAATGGCCATCTGAGACATTGTTTTCTCCCACTTCTTTACTGATCACAATTCCTACAAAATTAGGACAAATAACTGTTTCTTCTGAACTAGATGGTTCTGAAACTTTTTATTATGGATAATTATGAAATAACACTATTAAGTCCAGGCGCAACGATGTGTGCCTATAATCCCAGTGCTTTGGGAGGCTGAGGTGGGCAGATCACCTAAGGTCAGGAGTTCAAGACCAGCCTGGCCAACATGGTGAAACTGGTCTCTACTAAAAATGCAAAATTAGCCGGGCGTGGTGGCGTACACCTGTAATCCCAGCTACATGGGAGGCTGAGGCAGGAGAATTGCCTGAACCCAGGAGGTGGAGGTTGCAGTGAGCTGAGATTGCACCATTGCATTCCAACCTGGGCAAAAAGAGTGAAACTCGGTGTCAAAAAATGAAATAACAGTGTTGATAAGAGGACATCTCTTATTGAAAGTTGATGTTGAGAAATGAAAAATTTCTTTTTTACAAAAATGTATTACAGGCTGGGCGCCTGTAATCCCAGCACTTTGGGAGGCCGAGACGGGCAGATCACGAGATCAGGAGATGGAGACCATCCTGGCTAACACGGTGAAACCCTGTGTCTACTACAAATACAAAAAAATTAGCCAGGTGTGGTGGCAGACGCCTGTAGTCCCAGTTACTCTGGAGGCTGAGGCGGGAGAATGGCATGAACCCAGGAGGTGGAGCTTGCAGTGAGTCGAGATCAGGCCACTGTACTCCAGCCTGGGCAATAGAGCGAGACTCCACTCCATCTCAAAAAAATATATATATATATATTACAGCTGCTCTATCATGTAGAAATAAGAACTCATTAATCTTGTTCTTATTAGCCCATCATTTATAAAAAGTGGTTATTAGATCATCACTTTCTAAAAAGGATTCTCTCCCGTTTGGACTTATAAATTGAGGGGTTAGATGAGCTTTATATGGCACAGTCCAGAATGGGTTTGGATTTACCTGTGTCATTAATAAGCTTGTTTAGTAAAGGTTTTCTTGGAGCCAGATTTGGTCCTTAATTTGTCTTTGGGACATTAGTGCTTCTTGCTATATCTTTGATGGTCCTTAATTTGTCTTTGGGACATTAGTGCTTCTTGCTGTATCTTTGATGATTAACTTTGCTATTGTTTGATAAGTATGCAAGCACTAAAGGGAACATTCAGCACTAACTCTTCGTAATAGGGAATATGTTTAGATAATTGTACTGAACTTCATCTGTAGAACACACTATGGGCCTGCTAACTGGAACATATTTAAATAGATGAGAACACATTCAGGTGTAAAGCATTTTTCTTTAATGTATCTAGTCATATTGCCACCTGTTAATCATTATAGTCTTTTTTTTTTTTGTCTTTCATTTGGCAGAAAAGACAGCTTTGATTTCTGGCTGCAAAAAAGATATGAGGAAGAGCTCCTCCCCTTCCTTGAGTAACTGCAACTCCGTTCTTGCTAACAAAATATTTGGAATTCCACTTGATGAGCTGCAGCAGGGAGGACATCCAGACAATGAGGTTCCATTCATAGTCCGCCACGTTGTGGACTATATTGAGGAACATGGTATACATTTCCTTACTTTGAGGGCTAGCTTTTGTTTTAATAAACACAACTTACCCCTTTTTGACCTTGGATTTTTAATTTTTTTTTTTTTGTATGAAATGTCCAAAACAGGAAAAACTAGAAATTCTTTTTAATATTTTAGTGTGATTTTTACTTAAATTCATATACTTAGAAATGACAGTTGCCCAGCCTAGAACAAGTTTTAGTGGGGGTGATAGGAATATTTTTAATGGATATAAGGGGTGGGATAAAATGGAATATCCCTTAGAACAAAGATAGTATGTTTCTAGATGTATAATTTGAAGGTTTTTAGTCAAGTCATGGGAGCCAGGAAAGGCTTTCCAAAAGTATGAGTATTTTAAGTTAATAGGAGAATGAATATATATGGTCAAGCAGTTGACTTTGCAGCTTATTGAATGATTGCCTTGAACTAATGTAGGAGGTCTGGAGCAACAAGGACTTTTTCAAGTCAATGGAAATGCTGAGACCGTGGAGTGGCTTCGGCAGAGATACGACAGCGGAGAAGAGGTGGATTTGGTTAAGGAAGCAGATGTTCCCTCAGCTATTAGCCTTCTTAGATTTTTTCTTCAAGAACTTCCTGAACCTGTTATCCCTGGCAGTTTACATATTCACTTGATGCAGCTTTCTCAAGGTAACATAATTTGATACTTATCAATCAGTCATTTGTTGTTAATTTCCTAGTCTTTACCTTTTAGAAATCTTGACATGTAAGCAGTAAGTATAGTATTTTAGAGTTTAATTTGTTATTTTCTCTTTTGCTTTTTGGGGCTGTATGATCTTGTCAAAGGAAAGGCAACTTCCTGGATCCCTCTAGTACTGCTTACTTTTTCTTATTGGTCTTATTAGTGTAAGATACAAGGTGAAGAAGAGGAAAGGGAGGAGACAAGAACAAGGAGTAGGAGGGGTCATGAAAAAGAAGAGAAATTTATGTAAGGTAATGTGTGTGGTGGCACAATGTCCAATAGCAGCCAAAGATGTTGCTTAGTGGAGATATTACCACTATTAGGGTTTCTTATCTCTGGTTTGATAGAATTTCCTAGCAAAAGCAAGAAGATAACTTTGATTCTAGTCTTGGAATATACCTAAAACTTGTTCTTGGACGCTTACCTAAAGGAAATGAATATCAAATTGAACATCAGACTCTAAGCCAAAGAAACAAAAAAAGATTTATCTTTGTTAGGTTTTTTTTTGGTGGTGACTAAAAAGTAGTGCTTAGCTAGAGTGGAATAGGAACGGGAAAAATAGGGGTAGAGGCAGCAGAAAGGTCAAAGAACCAAGAAGTGAGGAAATGCTTCTGTTCCTAGAGCCAAATGGTATTCATATATTTGTAATGGAGGGACATGCTTCATTATATAGGAAAATGTATAAAGTTGGCATATAACATTATATATTTCTTGAATTTTATACCTTTTCAGGCTTTTTTGGTATTATGGAGTTCATTTATCTTTTGAATCAGGGCTTCTAAAGAAATTCAGTTATGCTAAGAAATTATAACTGCTTCCTTTGTGCCTATCTCTATCACAGCTGGGCATTCTATAATATGTGTGTATATATCCTTAAGTATTATGTTGTCAGAGAAAGTGTATTTTCTTTTGAAAAGGTTTATCTGTCTTTTTCTTAAATTTTAAACTGTGAGCCTAAGTTAGTTAGGTGTTTTTGATTTATGTATAAAGGTCAATGCAGAGATGTTCTGTGACCCTCTTACACATGTTTTCTGTACAGCTAAATCATAAGGCTCACTTTGAACTTGCTATATTCAGGAATGGGTAACCTGATTCAGTTCTGTTCTTTTACTGTATAATCTGGATCAAAAAACAGGTTTTAAAGCGAAATGTTATTAGTAAGGCTCCCCTTTTTTCAATTCATCACTTTAATTTTTCTCCCCCCAAAATTACGGTTTTTTGTTTTGACTTTTTGAATTCATTTTATTATTACAGGAATGTTTTCAAATGTTTATGTTGAGATACCTAATAAGCATTTTGCATTTATTAAATATGAACTGAAACCAGTATGATGAAGGTTTTTTGAGCCTTTTTAGATAACTCTAGAGCCATTCTCTTTATAGTGATAGGTTTCCATGTTCCCTCTGTTAGCTGAATTGCAGACATGTATTTAAAGTTGCAAGATTCAGATAATCTTTCAGTCCTGAATGAAAATTTATAAATTAATAATTGCAATGAGATTTAATGGAAGCAAAGTCATTGACTCACGGGTAGTATCTATCAGAAACTATTTATTTTTCACTAGGATCGTCATTTCAATTGGTTTTCATTTATTTGTTGTTTTTTGTTTTGTTTTTGTTTTGTTTTGTTTTTTAAAATGTTCTTGCTGTCGGCCAGGCTGGAGTGCAGTGGTGTGATCCTAGCTCACTACCGCCTTGATCTCCAGGGCTCAAGTGATCCTCCTGCCTCAGCCTCCTGAGTAGCTGGGACTACAGGGGTGCATCACCTTGCCTGGCTAATTTTTAAAAATTTTTTATTTTTTTGGAGAGACAAGATCTTGCTATGTTGCCCAGGCAGGTCTTGAACTCCTGAGCTCAAGTGATCCTCTTGTCTCAGTTTCCCAAAGCACTGGGATTATAGGAGTGAGCCGTTGTACCTGGCCTGGTTTTCATTTAAAATTATGACAGCATCATGTACTGTTGGGACAACTAAGTTCCTCTTCAAAGACTCAACTTTCTGATCATAAATTGTAAACCAATCCTACCCCTTCTTTTCTTTCAAAAATCGCGCATTTACCCTATTTGAAAAAGTATCAGTCTTAGCCAAGGCCTGGTTTTCATTTAAAATTATGATAGCACCATGTACCATGTTGACATTCATGGAATTACAATACACATCTCATTAATTATTCTTATGCTAACATTCACTTGTGAAGGAATTTAAGACATGCAGAAATACTTATGGTCCATAAGTGCTTTCATGTTTAATATGAGAAATTCACTGTTTTCTTCTATTTTCCACTTACACATACATAATCATTGGCATGTATATGTATGTGTGCACATATACTCACATATACACCCATTTCTTTAATAGCTATTCTGCTAGGTGTGGTAGTATTTGAGGTGATATTTGCATTTATGTTGTAATATCATCTTTTCATTCATTCATTTAGTTATTCTTTTGGGAAGATGTCTAGATCTCTGAACAAAGGTTCCTCTCTTTGTTTACTGCAGATAATTTTGTTTGTTTCTTTTATTTTTTGAGACAGAGTCTTGCTCTGTCGCCTAGGCTGGAGTGCAGTGGGACCATCTTGGCTTACTGCAACCTCTGCAGTGCACTGCAACCTCTGCAGGTTTAAGTGATTCTCGTGCTTCAGCCTCCTGAGTAGCTGGGACTATGGGTGTATGCTACCATACCCAGCTGATTTTTGTATTTTTAGTAGAGATGGGGTTTCACCATGTTGGTCAGGCTGATCTCGAGCTCCTGACCTCAAGTGATCCACCCACCTTGGCCTCCCAGAGTGCTGGAATTACAGGCATGAGCCATGGCACCCAGCTGTAGATAAATAATATGATAATATTTTAATGTTCACAAATACATGACAGTTATTGCTTTTAAGACCATGAAAGAAGCACTGTTGCAGTTGCATTTCAGCTTTTGTTTTTAAAAAGTGGTTTCATTTCTCTGTGGTAGCAGGACAGTGCATTCACTGGTGTGGTTAAACTTTTCATTTAGACTAGGGTTTCACAGCCTTGGTACTGTTAATTTTGGGCTTGATAATTTTTTGTGATGGGGGTTATGTACTGTAGGATGTTTAGCTTTACCATAGGCACTGTCTTCCCCAAAGTCATGACAGCCGTTCATTTGTCAGATGTTGACAACTTCTGGTTTAGACCATAATGGTTAGTTCAACTGCTTATCCGTTGTGTTTTGGTAGAAAACATAGCTAGCAGTTTTGTGGATTAGTTAGAACATTTCCAGAAAATATTACAGTACTTGAAGGAATTGTTAGGGGAAACTTCTCTGATAACATACATTATTTTCCCTGGATATGATTTAACTAGAAAGTAGACTCCAAAGGAAAGAAATTTAAGCAAGTATGTATATATTTAATGTATTTTGAAGTGCTTCTGTGCCTTATTTGAAGACTTCAGAAACAGGCCAGTATAGGTATAAATGTGTAGAAGAAATGTACCCAACAAAACTTTGGATAATGTTGATAGTATTTCAAATAAAAACAGTATTGCCCACAAGCTTACCACACCATCAAGTCAAATGGTGTAGTATGTTCAACATCTTTATTCAGTTATTGTGTATTCATTCAGTGAATTCAACTAATGTGTATTGAACATCTGCTATATGCTAGGCATTGCTCTAGACCAGCAGTCCTCAACCTTTTTGACACCAGGGACCGGTTTTGTGGAAGACAGTTTTTCCACTGATGGGGAGGAGGAATGGTTTTGGGATGAAGCTGTTCTAACTCAGATCATTAGGCATTAGATTCTCATAAAGAATGTACAATCTAGATTCCTTGCATGCACAGTTCACAGTAGCGTTCTTGCTCCTATGAGAACCTAATGCTGCTGCTGATCTGACTCGCTGCTCACCTCCTGCTGTATGGCCCAGTTCCTAACAGGCCACAGACTGGTCTGCAGCCCCGGCTGTGGACCTTTGCTCCAGATACTGAGAATTCAGCACTGAAAAAAACTAGGTGAAAATCTCTGCCCTCATGGCTGGGTGTGGTGACTCACACCTGTAATTCCAGCACTTTGGGAGGCTGAGGTGGGAGGATCACTTGAGCCTAGGAGTTCTAGACCAGTCTGGAACACATAGAGAGACCCTGTCGCTACGAAAACTTCAAAAAATAGCCAGCTGTGGTGGCATTTGCTTGTGGTTCTAGCTACCTAGGAAGTAGATGTGGGAGGATCGCTTGGGCCTGGGAGGTTGAGGCTGCGGTGAGCCTCAGTGAGCATGCCACTGCACTCCACCCTGGAGCGACAGCCTGTCTCAGAAAAAAAAATCTCTGCCCTCACAGAACTGAAATGCTATAGAGGATAAAGGGAGGATGGATAAATAGATGATAAAAATAAACATATGGATAGGTATGCTAGGCATTAAGTGCCACAGAGCTGGAGAGAATGTTAGGTAGAATTTGTCAGTGTTGGTGTCTTCATTATATTGATAATGCTTGCATTTTTGGTACGTGATTTTCTAAAATAATCCTTTTCTGTTGAATGCTTAGGTTGTTAAAATTTCTCATCAGTTATAGGTACAGTGATTTAAACATTAATCCAGGGACTATTCCATCTGATTTTAAAATTGAAGTACTAGTACTTTTGAATGGACAGCTGGTAATATTACAAAGTATAGAAGAGTTGTTATTGGTTGCATTTTAAATTTTAAGTAAAACTCATGTGACTATAGCCTTTCCTGATAAACTTAAAAATTTTGTTTTCTTTTTTTTTTTTTTAAATTTTTGAGACAGGGTCTCACTCTGTTACCCAGGCTGAAGTGCAGTGGCACGATCTCAGCTCACTGCAACCAGTGCCTCCTAGGCTCAAGCCATTGTCTCACCTCAGCCTCCTGAGTAGCTGGGACCATATGTGTATGCCAGTACACTCGACTAATTTTTGTATTTTTGGTAGAACAGGGTTTCGCCATGTTGCCCAGGCTGGTCTCAAACTCCTGAGCTCAGGCGATGTGCCTGCCTCAGCAAAGTGCTGGGATTACAAGCGTGAGCCACCGTACCAGGCCCCAAAAAATTTTTTTTTAATCAACATAGTACTGGAGTCCTATTTCCTGATAAACTTTCTAGACTAGTATTATTTTGCAGAGATGGCTAATATCATGACCATAACCTTTTACCAAAAGTTTTTCAGTAAAATAATTTTAAGAACCTGCCGAAAAATACAAAATGAAACATAATTGAATTGGTTTTTACTCATGAAGCAATAAATCACTTTATTTTGAGAGAACCTCTGAGCACTTTTTTCTCCCAAATGGGATCCTCACCAATCAATGGAATTAATACAGATCTAGTTTCTGCTAGTGAAAACTCATTGACACGATAAATACAAGGCCTAACTTGTGTGATAAAGTTTACTTGATAAGCAGAAACCCGCATAAATTTAGAGGAGAAAAACAGACAAGAAATGAAAGACCTTTTAATTTAGTTCTACTGATATTGCTGAAGTTAATTGTTTATTTGGGAAGCCAGGAGAAGAAAATCACACTGTTACTTTGTTCTTTCCTTGTTTTTCCTTTCCAAGCTGAAAGGTATCGCTGATACTATTAGCCCCTCAAATTGCATCTCTGCTTTGCTCACTAGTAGTTTGTATTGTCTGGCATGGCCAGTGCATTTTGACCTTTTATAGTTGGCACTAGTGTGGAAACACAGGTACGGTCATGCTGGAGACAGTAGGATGAGAATTTAAAAAAAAATCAAAACAAAAAAACAAAAGTAGAGAATTGGGGCCAATGAGTAATAGATGAAGAAAACATCCTCCAGCAATTAAGGGGTTGAGTTCCTTTTTTCCAGCTCCTCTTCTCCACCTCTTCTCTGTTTCATAAGTGAAATGGAAAGCCCTAAGGCATTTGGCCCCAGTAGAGGAAGTGAAGAGGTTTTGAATTGTTGCAGTAAAAAGGTGATGTGGATAGAGTAATGTGAACCTGGCAAAATATCAGAGCTTTGCTTTTTCCTTTATTTAAAAAAACCCTATCATTATTGTTTTATAGATTATAATAATGAAGATGAATTTGGAAGAAAGTTGAGGTTCCTCTTGCAACAGCTTCCACCTGTTAATTACAGTTTGTTAAAGTTTCTGTGTAGATTTTTAGCCAATGTAGCATCACATCATGAAGAAATTTGGTCTGCAAATTCTTTGGCTGCTGTCTTTGGTCCAGATGTCTTCCAGTAAGTTGTTTCAAAAATTTTTGTTTAATTTTTAAAAATTAGATACGTGAAATGGAATCATTATATTGTCTCCCAACGATTGTAGGTTGCTTGATGAACAATTATTTTTTATAGTAGATATAATTAATTCTTACAACATTTTTGTGAACAGGCTACAAATTAGGTAGATTTTACAGATGGGAGAATGGAAGCACAGAATGGTGACATAAATTGCCTGTGTTCATAAAGTGTCTCATTGGTTGTCTTCTACCTTTACCAGTGATTGATTTAAGAACTCTCAATTTGGACTTTTATTCTTAGCATTTACACAGATGTGGAAGATATGAAAGAGCAAGAAATAGTGAGCAGGATAATGGCTGGACTTCTGGAAAACTACTATGAGTTTTTTGAGAATGAAGAGGAAGATTTTTCATCTAATGATTTGAGTTCAATTACTGAACAGGTGAGAATATTCTATTTGGAGGGATAATTTCTTTCTTTCTTTTTTTTTTTTTTTTTAAGAATAATATGCTCTTAAAGACTTGCCATAGGCATAAGTGGAATTTAAGTACTGACTTGGAAGTAATTATCTTGATTATTACATGTAATCAGTAGGTGGCACATTCATGATTTTTTTTTTCCCTGAACAACATCCTGCCCTCCATAATTCGATTAATAAGGAAAAGGCATTAAAATCAGAGTATACAGTAGAGATTTTTTGTTTTTGTTTTTTTCTAACTATTGTTTATTTTGTAAGGATAATGCTGTGTTTTGGTTTTTTGCAGAGAAACTGCTAGCATAGAGGAATATAGGCAAGGGGTGAGAAATTTAAAGTAGAGGGAAAGATTAGGTACACATTTTTAAAAATTTGAAGTTTTTCTTCAGTAATATAGCAAATCAACACAATAGTATAATTATCATTAATGGAAAGCCTCTGGATATTAATAGTTTAAGTGGCAGGTAATTTTTAAATTCTGGTGACTCTAGAATATTAAAATCTCTTTCTGAGGTTACCTTATAATCTTTTACAAAATTGTTTTATTTTTTATAGAGACAGGGTCTTGTTATGTTGCCCAGGCTGGTCTTGAACTCCTGGCCTCATGCAAGCCTCCTGCCTTGGCCTCTGAAAGCGTTGGGATTATAGGCATGCGCCACTACGTCCAGCCACTTATAATCTTGATGGTTGAGACTATACAAGGCTCATACTTAACTTTCTCCTTTATGAAATGGGAATATTGAAGCTGAATAATTAACAGTTTATTGTAAAGCCATGTTAGTCCAGTCTTCTCAGGTTTAAAATTTGTGATTTAGATCTGTGTAGAAGTTTTTCTTCTGCACTTACGTGAAGTGGTTTGCCATCAAACTTTTATTAACGTTAAAACCTATGAAGTCACCTATATTTTGAGTGTTAGTTGGGGCTGATACTTCTTTTTTTAATGGATAATAATTCACCTGTTTCTTAAAAATGGTAGAATATATGGTAAAATGTCTTGCTGTCATCCATACTCACCTTTTCCTTCTTTCTTTCCTCCCCTTGGTTTTTTGTTTTTCCAGTTTTTAAAAGCAAATACAAGTAAATATTTTCTAACAGTTTTTTTCTACAAGAAAGTAGGATACTATCCACACTGTTCTGCCCCTTGTTTTGAAGATCTTATTAGAATATAGAGAGCACGTTATTTTTTTTTTTACACCTGTGTAGTTTCCTATTGTGTGGGTAGAACCTTAAAATTTATTTGATTTATAGTGTCAGTCCCCACTTAGAAAGGGGGTGGTACATTCTGGTTTTCTCAGAATAATCTTGGTATCTGTCTGCTTCTGGTGTAATATTTAGAAGCTTCTCTGTCACTCTTAGATGTATTCAGGTTTGCATGGTTGCTTCCCTTCATTTGCTGTGAGATTACAAAGCATCATCTTTTGAGAGGTCGTCGATCATAACAGATTTTCATTAGTCCTGATAGTTCTTGTATATCATTATGTGGATTCAGAGTTTTATTTTCTGGGCAGCCTAACTTTAAAAGAGTTTTGATGCTTTTGTGAACTTTTATGACTAATACTTTTTAATATTTGGAGTTTATACTTCAGCTTTTCTTTATGTAAGGGTTTTTTTTTTTCTTTTTTTTTTTTCTTTTGAGACGGAGTCTCACTGTCACCCAGGCTGGAGTGCAGTGGTGTGATCTAGGCTCACTGCAACTTCCACCTCCCAGGTTCAAGCAATTCTCCTGCCTCAGCCTCCTGAGTAGCTGGGATTACAGGCAGCTACTGCCATGCCTGGCTAATTTTGTATTTTTAGTAGAGACAGGATTTCACCATGCTTGCCAGGCTGGTCTTGAACTCCTGACTGATCTCAGGTGATCCACCCACCTTGGCCTCTCAAAGTGCTGGGATTACAGGTGTGAGCCACTGCGCCTAGCCATGTAAGCATTTTTATCTTTGGCTTTCCCTCCCTCTCTCCCTTCTTCCCTCTTTCCCTTTCTCTCCTTCTCTTTTTTCTCATTTCTCTTTCTTCCTATCCAAATATCAGGAACTTTAAAGGAACAGTAATAGATGCCAGATTAGAGCTTGCAGTGTGTAGACCGAGGTTGAAACCTGTGTCTGTGTGTATATGTAATAAATTAAGGGTAGAATTTGTAGCCTGAATTAGTGATGCATAGAACTCTTGGCACATTTTTTGAGGGGTTCCAGTTATCATACACAGTTCTTGACTTAAAAACTTGGTTTAAGGAACTGATAGATCTCTAAATTATTCTTGCTTGAAGCAAAATGACAAGAAGAGGATAAGTAGATAGGTATGCCTTAAACCTTTAATGTCTTTTGATGCTCAAAAGAAATCTACCTCTTGGGGAGTTCTGCATGCCACCTTTATTTCCTTCCTTCCTTCCGTCCTTCCATCCTGTCCTGAGACGGAGTCTTGCTCTGGTTGCCCAGGCTGGAGTGCAGTGGTACAATCTTGGCTTACTGCAGCCTCCACTTCCTGAGTTGAAGCGATTCTTGTGCTTCGCCTCCTAAGTAGCTGGGACTACAGTCACTCTGCCATGCCTGACTAATGTGTGTGTGCGTGTGCGTGTATTTTTGGTAGACACTGGGTTTTATCGTTTTGGCCAGGCTGATCTCGAACTCCTGACATCAAGTGATCTGCCTGCCTTGGCCTCCCAGAGTGCTGAGATTATAGGCATGAGCCACTGCACCTGGCCTATTTTGTTTATATTTCAGTTCAGTGATTTTCAAAAATGTAAGTAATGGCAGATAAAAATGAAATAATATACATAATGTTTGTGTCGTTTATTTTTTACATTTTTAAGATGATTTGACTTCTAAGAACTGGTAATGTCAACTTAATATTTACATCTTGACTTCTCTAAAGTCTGCAGGATATGCCTTATGTTTTATATTTTGCTATAATTCAATATTTCTTTTCTTCCATGGTTTTCTGATGTATGCTGAAATGTCTTTATCTCACATATATTGCATCAGTAGTTTTGTATTTTTTTTTGCACTAGAAAAATTGACTTAAAATACATTGTGCCTTACATTAAATAGAATGGTGAGGCACCATAAGGTAGTGTTGAATTCTGCATGTTTGCCCATGGATAGAAAAAGGGACATTAGGCCAGGTGCGGTAGCTCACACCTGTAGTCCCAGCACTTTGGGAGGCTGAGATGGGTAGATCGCTTGAGGCCAGGAATTTCAGATCAACCTGATGAACAGGGTAAAACCCCATCTCTACTAAAAATACAAAAATTATCTGGCTGTGGTGGCACACACCTGTAGTCCTAGCTACTCTGGACCCTGAGGCACAGGAGTCGCCTGAACCCAGGAGGCAGAGGTTGCAATGAGTCGAGATCATGCCACTGCACTTCAGCCTTGGTGACAGAGTGAGACCTTGTCTCCAAAAAAAAAAAAAGAAAAAAAGAGAAAAGGATGTTAGTATAATTAAGCTTAATAAATGGAGTAGTGCAGTGGGTCCTGAGAGACATGCTGTAGATTTAATTATCTTGTCCCATGTTGCTAATTATTTTCTTACCAATTTTTTTTATCAATTCTGTCTCAGAATCTATTTTCTTATCAATTTTTATTATGTTTCTGGAATGTGATTTACAAGTAACAAAATTACAGATTTATGAGGTTTTTTTGTAAGTGGATTTGATAACTTTAGTTTGATTTGTGAGGCAGAATTGATAAGGTATTTAAGCAGACATAAATATCCTCAAACTCAGCACAACTTGATTGTGTTCTTAAATATTTTCAGTTTCTTGTCTATATATTTAAAGATGTGGGTAGACCTGGCCCGTCTTGGCAGTGCTTTGATTTTTCTCCTGATTTTAATATTTGAAGGAAGCAAAGTTTATCCAGCACTTAATTCTTTTATAGTTTCATCCCATTAATGCAAATATTTGACTATTAGAATCTTTTCCAGGTAGTAGATATTTTTATTAATAATATGAGAGAGATAGGTGGCTGGAGATGATAAACAGGGAGTGCTTGAAGGATGATGCAGAGTCAAATGGATTTCGTATGGATCCTTAAATGAATGAGAATCCAGTAGAATGGTTTGAAGATGGAGGTGATAATGATGTTTCTTTATACATTTGAGAAGACAGGTAGCAGCGTTCTCCACAAACTGGAGTCTGGAGAGCAGGCATTTCACGAGGCCCTAGAGAAGGGAATTATAGCAGTCAAAGAAAGAAGACATGGAAGTATGGATGAGGTTTTCCATAAGTGGAGTTGAGGCTGCTGCATACGTAGAGCAAGTTCAAAATAACTTCTGAACAAAATAGTGTTGATAAGCAGAAGGTCAGGTTGACAAGGAGAGGATCAAGAAGAACTTCGAATATTAGTGTGGGGTAAGACAGCATTTTAATCCAAGTCTTTAATGCTTAGTTTAGCTCAAAATAATTGAGTCAGTTCTTAGTGCAGGAAGTTACTTTGGGAGGCCTTGAGAGGGGAGAGAAAAAAACCCCACAGGGTAATTAATTGTTCATGTCATATTTTAGTTGATGATTATTGTTGAAAATACTAGAGACTGTCAATTTCTATAAAGCTTATTGAATTGAATATATTCGATATATTCAAGTATAATGCTTTCATAGTTCCTCGGAGCTATTGACTTTATACATGAAATGATTTTATTATTTTTTTGAGAGGGTCTCACTGTGTTGCCCAGGCTGGAGTGCAGTGGCATGGTCATAACTTACTGTAACCTTGAACTTCTGGGCTCATGATCCTCCTGCCTCAGCTTCTTGAGTAGTTGGGACTACAGGCATGTGCTACAATGCTTGGCTAATTTTTAAAATTTTTTGTGGAGACAGAGTTTCACTATGTTGCCCAGGTTGGTCTTGAACTCTTGGCCTCAAGCAATCCTCCTGCCTTGGCCTTCCAAAATGTTGGTATTATAGGTGTGAGCCACCACACCTGGCCCCATAAAATGATTTTAAAAAGTGTGATATAACATGTTAAAATAGGCCAGCCATGGTGGCTCACACCTGTAATCCCAGCACTGTGGAAAGCTGTGGTGGGTGGATCACCTGAGGTCAAGGGTTTGAGACCAGCCCGGCCAACATGGTGAAACACTGTCTGTACTGAAAATATGAAAATTAGCCAGGCGTAGGGGTGTATGCCTGTAATCCCAGCTACTCAGGAGGCTGAGGCAGGAGAGTTGCTTGAACCTGGGAGGCGGAGGTTGCAGTGAGCCAAGATCGTACCACTGCACTTCAGCCTGACCGACAGAGCAAGACTGTGTCTCAAAACCAAACAAAAATATGTTAAAATAATAGTATCTCTATACCAAAAAGGTGTGAACTGAGTAATTTTTTATTCTGTTTTAAAAGCCTTCTTAAATTTTTTTTTTTATATTTTGCTGTTGTGCCCAAGCTTTTATTAATCAACCACAATAACTCCCTGCCCCCCACCCCACCTTTTTTTTTTTTTGAGACAGTCTTGCTCTGTCACCCAGGCTGGAGTGCAATGGTGTGATCTTGGCTTACTGCAACCCCCATCTCCCAGATTCAAGCAATTCTCCTGCCCCAGCCTGGGATGACAGGCACTTGCCACCATGCCTGGCTAATTTTTGTATTTTTAGTAGAGACGGGCTTTCGCCATGTTGGCCAGACAGGTCTCGAACTCCAGCCCTCAGGTGATTCGCCCACCTCTGCCTCCCAAAGTGCTGGGGTTACAAGCATGAGCCACCGCGCCTGGCTCCCTTTTATACTTCTGAAAACAATTTTTTTTTTTTTTTTGGCCAGTGTTTCCTTGCTTAGATTATGAAATGGATATTAAGTACATCCTCTCAACCTTCACTAGTTAATTAAATACATAGATGGGGAAAGAGGATAATTTCTCATTTGATCTACTTTAAAACCTGATCTGTCATTTGAGATTTTCACCTTTGTGTTGAAATCTTACCTCTCAGTTAATCACTTAAGCCAATGATTTTTCAGTCCTTTTCATCAACATAATGTGGGATGGACTAGGAAAGATATTTATAAACACAACGAATTATACAGAATCTGCTGCATGTACTTTATATGTGAACTAAATGGTTCACTAACTGTTTTGTTTTTATTTTTGAGACAAAGTCTTGCTCTGTTGCCCAGGCTGGAGTGCAGTGTGCGATCTTGGCTCATTGCAACCTCTGCCTCCTGGGTTCAGGCAATTCTGTCTCAGCCTTCCGAGTAGCTGGGATTACAGGCACACGCCACCACATCTGGCTAATTTTTGTATGTTTAGTATAGATTGGATTTCACCATGTTGTCCAGGCTGGTCTCGATCTTCTGGCCTCAAGTGATCCACCCTTTGGCCTCCGAAAGTTCTGGGATTACAGGCATGGGCCACCGTGCCTGGCCTAACTATTGTTAATAATGACTTTTTAGTGACCCATCTGACTAGTGACCTCGATAGACCTGTGGTTGAGACCTCCTGCTTTAGGTAGTTTGGATGGTGGATACTGTCTTCATTGATATAAAAAATGATATTACATGTAGAAACTAGGATCTATGCTGTTAAAGAAATGACAGCAATTTCAGTTATAATGATAGGCATTATTGCTTATTATGTATAGACATTGCTGAAGAGGTTATGTATATTAATCCTTTCAACCAGCTCTGTGAGGTAGTTAGTATAGCATCTCCATTTTATACTTAAGACTTGGTCAAGTTAAGTAAGCTGCCAGAGAAAGTTAGGGGCAAGTAGGGATGTGTGAATATAGATATTTCTGCCTCTGAGGCCTAGCTTTTAACTACTGTATTATACTTTATTCAATTTTGAAACCGAATCTTACTCTGTCACCCAGGTTGGAGTGCAGCATCACAATCATGGCTCTCTTCAGCCCCGACCTCCTGGACCCAAGTGATTCTCCTACCTCAGTCTCCCAAGTGGTAGCTGAGACTACAAGCACATGCCACCATGCCTGGCTAATTTTTGTATTTTTTGTAGAGACAAGGTTTCACCATGTTGCCCAGGCTGGTCTGGAACTCCTGGGTTCAAGTGTTCCAACCCCCTCAGCCTCTCAAAAGTGCTGGGATTATAGGTGTAAGGCACTGTACCCAGCCTGTGTTATACATTAAAAGAAGCACTCTGTACTTGTTGATTAGGAGTGTGATAGAATATCACAGTGTAATTAACTTTCTTTTGGTTGTAGTTTTACTTTCTGATAGTATTCTAGTAACTGTATTTGTCCATCAGAAAAAACACCACTGTTACATGTAGTAGTAAACACATATATTCTAGGTATTTCTATTGCATTTTTCTAGAACGGAGAAAAAGCGTACTTTTATTGCTCAGAGTCTTTAATGACTAGTATTAGTTTATATTAAGCCATTCTATAGATGGTTTCTTCTTTGGGATAACTTAAAAACTCATTTGAAAGTATTTCGCTGGTTTTCTTTCTCTAATATTTCAGTATCTTTTTATTAGAGTGATTACATACGTAGCCAGTTTGATAATGGAGGACATTTTAGAGCTGCTGCTAGCAAGATAATTATAACCTTGACTTGTGCTTACTGGTCAAAATATGAGTTCTTCCTTGTTGTAGGATCCCATCTCTTCATGAATAATTCAATCTGAATCACTTAGAAGTTAGCTGACGTTTTCTAAAATGTAGCTAACATCTTAAGGCAACATTTTTTTGCCCTTCGTTTTTCACACTTACTGTATTAAAATGACTTGTTTAAGGCACCTGGAAATCAGATCAATTAAAAGTCTGTTGTAAGTGTTACATTTACAAACCAAGTTAGAAAATTAAGTTTTCTTAATGTTAACTATACCTTATAGGCTTACTTATATTCCTAGATATACTAATTGTAAAATTAGTATATACTAATATACTAATTTGCAACTAGTGATACACTAATCTAGCTTCAAAATGTTACATTTGTCTGGTTGCAATTTTATTTTGATATGAGAAAGTTGACAGTTACTCCATAAGAGAGATTGATCTTAGGAAATGAGTAAATAAAAATGAGTTGTTTGTGTTTAAAATTTTCATAGACTAGTATGTCTTAGATGTGTTAACAGTTTCATCACATTTTAATTCTGAATTTCCTTTTATTTATATAGGTTAATGAACTTTCTGAGGAAGAAGAGGAAGATGAGAAGCTGGAACATATTGAAGAACTTCCAGAAGAGGGTGCAGAAAAATCAAATGACATGCCAGAGGTGGTACAATTAAGGATGACTGAAAACATCCTGGAATCAAATAGTGTTACGGCATCAACAAGGTAATAGCTCAGTTGAGTGAACTTTAGCTTTTGAGTATTTCATTCTAAGTGTAGACTCACTCAAGCACTCAGGAACACAAACTATGTGAAAGTTTGGCATTTGTGTGTGAAAAAGAGCAAGAAGTAAAATTTCAAGATGCAGTCTTGCTAAGGAATTTTCAGTTACTAGTGTTAATACCTTTTTTTCAAAAACGTAACCTCTTACAAATTTATTCTTAAAGTTTGTTTTGTATTAGCTTATTAATTGGGCTGGATAAAATTTCAGAACCTGTGGAAGTAGCATTGTTAGAGAAGGATACAGTGGCTAAATTGACTTGTATATCCTGCTTCCAGGCTACAATTAGTTTTATCTAGGCTGTAAGGATGGAACTCTGATCCATTAAGATAGTGCTTTCCAAGGCCGGGCACGGTGGCTCACGCCTGTAATCCCAGCACTTTGGGAGGCCGAGGCGGGCGGATCACAAGGTCAGGAGATCGAGACCATCCCCGTCTCTACTAAAAATACAAAAAATTAGCCGGGCGCGGTGGCGGGCGCCTGTAGTCCCAGCTACTCAGCAGGCTGAGGCAGGAGAGTGGTGTGAACCCGGGAGGCGGAGCTTGCAGTGAGCCAAGATCCTGCCACTGCACTCCAGCCTGGGCGACAGAGAGAGACTCTGTCTCAAAAAAAAAAAAAAAAAGATAGTGCTTTCCAATTCTTTTCATGTATAAAATGATAATATTTACATGGCATACTGGGTAAATTCGATAAATGTGGTAGGCTGAAGGCCCTATCCCAGCACATAGCTGGGACCATTGGGCACACTATTTAGGAAGCTTTAGAGAACGCAAGAGAAAGAGTGAACCTTTCTATGGCTTTTGATAAATATTTCCAGACTACTTAAAGGACGTAAGCCAGTTTACATTGTCATACTCCCCATATATATCTTTAGGTCTGCTAAATTCTATGCTAGTTCTCTGTAAAGCTTCATTGTTTACTAACCCTTTCTAATTAGGAGGATACAGCTGTATATTTAGTCCACTAGATTTTTTAAATTTAATTTGTGTTCAGTGGAATGGTGGTTAAAAAGAAGAGGAAATAATAATTTGAGTGAGAAAGCAAAATGTCATTTAAAAGTAACTGGTAATACCTAAGGGAAGAGCTATCTATTGCCATTCAGGAAAACTATGAAGTAATTTTAAATGTCTGCTGCTAAATACAATTATTACATTTCTCCATAGGCCTCTGGATCTTTATATTATGTATGGTTTCTTCAAACATGATCATAATTCTGTTTTGTTAACATGTTTATTTTCTCTTTTGCTGGATTTAACATTCTGTTTTTGCTTTTATGTGTGTTTACATGACCTCCTAATTTATTTTTTTGATGGTCTCTTAACTGTATTTTAATTGTATGTTAAAATATTATCTGTATGTTCAGATATTTAACTATATTCTATCATTCTTTTTTCTTGATATTTTGAGTTGTTTTAGCTGGCTTGTCAGTACTGTACTGCTGCTAAAAAAAAACCACCTTTGTTGTTTGGCTCTTTTTTCTTTCTTCTAAATTATTTGGATAAATTTACTGGAATTTTAGAGTGAACGTTTCTCTGGCTTTTGGTAAATATTTCCAGACTGCTTAAAGGACGTGACCCAGTTTACACTGTCATTAGCAGTATTTTCTTGAGGACCTTACAGCAATAGATTTAAATGGGTGTTTTAAATTTTGTTAATTAATTTTTTATTATTTTTTGAGACCAGAGTCTCACTCTGTCACCCAGGCTGGAGTGCACTGGCACAATCTCGGCTCACTGCAACCTCTGCCTCCTGGGTTCAAACGATTCTCATGCTTCAGCTTCCCAAGTAGCTGGGACTATGGACGTGCATCACCATGCCCAGCTAACTTTTGTATTTTAGGAGAGACAGGGTTTCACCATGTTGGCCAGGCTGGTCTCAAACTCCTGGCCTCAAGTGATCTGCTTGCCTCGGCCTCCAAAGTGCTGGGATTACAGGAGTGAGCCACTGTGCCCGGCCATTAATTTTGTTAATTTAGAGCTCTGCTCTCCAATAAGGTGGCCACTAGTTCCTTCTGTGTTTTTATTATTATTTAATGATAGGGTCTCTTGCTCTGTCATCCAGTCCGGAGTGCAGTGGCACAATCACAGCTCATGTATAGCTTCTACCTCCTGGGCTCAAGCAGTCCTCTTGCCTCAGCCTCCTGTGTAGCTGAGACCACAGGTGCTCACTACCATACCCAGCTAGTTTTTGTATGTTTTGTAGAGGTGGGGTTTCAGCATGTCGCCCAAGCTGGCCTTGAGCTCCTGGGCTTACAGGTGTGAGCCACTGTGCCCTGCCACTTGTGTGTATTTAAATGTAAACTTAAACGAACTAAAATTAAATAAAAATTTTAAATTCCTTCCATATTTGTGCCACCTACATTTCAAGTGCTCAGTAGCCACACGTGTGGCAAGTGACTGTCATGTTGGACAGTGCAGATATAGAACATTTCTATCATTGCAGAAATTTCTTTTGGACAGTGCTGATTTAGACAAGTGAATTCATTAAGTGTGTTTGTTTATATAATTACCAGCAAGGCTAAGTATTGTTTCAAATACTATGTATTACTAATAGCTTCTCTTTGATCATCTGTCTGGTTTTATAGAGGATCCTCCTTTGCTCCAACACAGTCCCTTTGCTCCAACACAGTCATTTTAGAAGGATTCCTTGGAGATTTAGTGGTTGTTAGGATTTTTTTTTTTTTTTTTTTGAGATGTAGTTTTCATTCTGTTACGCAGGCTGGAGTGCAGTGGTGTGATCTCGGCTAACTGCATCCTCCACCTCCTGAGTTCAAGCGATTCTCTGGCCTCAGCCTCCCGATTAGCTGGGATTACAGGCCCACACCACCATGCCTGGCTAATTTTTGTATTTTTTCATGTTGGCCAGGCTGGTCTCGAACTCCTGACTTCAGGTGATCTGCCCACCTTGGCCTCCCAAAGTGCTGGGATTATAGGCATGAGCCACCATGCCTGGCCAGTTGTTAGGATTCTTTAATTGCAGGTCCTAGAAATAGATTCTAGTTAAAGTATAGAAAAAGCAATTTATTTGTAAGAAGGATTCTGGGCTACAGTCAAATGGAAATGCAAAGATCAGAACATGGGCAGCTCTGGGAAATTTAGAAACACGGAGGCAAGGAATAACCTCTTCCCCATGTGGCTGTTGCCGTGAGAGTTCTGACGGCTTCTGTCTGTTATTCTGCTCTGGAGCAGATAGCTGTGGGGTGGTGGGGAGAGGGTCTGCCCTAAATTTAGTTGCGTGTCTATTCCCATGGCCAGTGTAGAACTGGTCATTGTGATTTATGTGTATCTGAGGACCGCGTGGGATGGAGGGAGGAGCTAGTTTCCCACAGGAAAATAGGGCGATTACCAAAATGTTGGGGTAGGGATATTAGGCAGCAGAAACAGGTATGTCTACCATTGTGGTCTTCTAGATTTAGTGATTTTTATGTGTTTCAGTTGATATCTATGCATTTCCCTTTTATTTTAGTTTTGGCTGATAAAATGTATAAAGATTAAAAAGTACCCATGATTACTTTTTTGGTGGTATCTATTGCTTCATTATAGTGCTTTTCAGGTAAATAAAACCCTTTACATGTCATCAGAGTAGAGGTACCTGCTGTTTTTCTAGTTAACATTTATTTTATTTATGAAAATGTTAATAATTTAACTCTTCTCTTGAAAGTAAAAATATCCACAGTATGTAGTACCTTCAGACTGTGTTCAGTTTTTATTCTATTTGTTATTAAAGATGCTCATATTAAAATTTTTTATAAATTACCTATTTTTACATTTATTTTAATGGCAATTTAGTTTTACGGATGTTATTACTGCTTGAGAAGAGGCTCAAGATTGAAGTTGTTTATAGATGTGTCCTCTATGAAATTAAAAGTAAATCAAAATGCATGCCATTTCATAAGTGCTTAATAAGAGATAAGCAAATGAAAAACTGAAGTGGAATGAAGCATACAGCTAGTTAGAGGGAACAGGCTGGGCACGTTGGCTCACACCTGTAATCCCAGCACTTTGGGAGGCTGAGGCGGGTGGATTACGAGGTCAGGAGAGCGAGACCATTCTGGCTAATACGGTGAAACCCCATCTCCACTAAAAACAAAACAAAACAAAATTAGCTGGGCACGGTGGTGGGCTCCTGTAGTCCCAGCTACTCCGGAGGCTGAGGCAGGAGAATGGTGTGAACCCGGGAGGCGGAGCTTGCAGTGCGCCACTGCACTCCAGCCTGGCTACAGAGTGAGACTCTGTCTCAAAAAAAAAAAAAAGAGGGAACAGGAGCCTTTCAGAAAGAGCGATTAGGGTTTTTTATATATTTTTAGAGATATTTATTTTTGCATGTCTCTCTGCTAAACAAGGATATCCGTTTGTTTTTTGTTTGTTTTCACATGGAGTTTCTCTCTGTCGCCCAGGCTGGGCTGGAGTGCAGTAGCGTGATCTCGGCTCACTGCAACCTCTGCCTCCTGGGTTCTCGACTTTCCTGCCTCAGTCTCCTGAGTAGCTGGGATTACAGGCGCCCACCACCATGCGTGGCTAATTTTTGTATTTTTAGTAGAGAAGAGGTTTCACTACGTTGGCCAGGCTGGTCTTTTGAACTCCTGACCCCTAGTGATCCACCCGTCTTGGCCTTTCAAAGTATTGGGATAACAGGTGTGAGCCACTGCACCGAGTCCCCATTGAAGTATATTATTTCTAATCCCCAGCAATCCACTTAAGCTTCTTATTCTTGTTTCTTATAAATTATAGAAGTACTTTGCTGAATCTAGCTGATTTCATTAGTATAACATGTTCATTGTTTTAAAAAACTAAGATCATTTATTATATTATTTTTCTCTGAACTCTTCAGAAAGGTAAGAGTGTTTCATTCCTTTGGTTAAATTCCTTTAATGTCTCTCTATTGAAGGAGCCAAAATTCTTAAATGTCCTGTAGGATTCTATATACACAGTCTGCCCCATCCCAC